AAGTTGATTTGGGCGAGAATCTCAAACCTAAGCACTGCCAAAATCGATAGACTTCCACAAGTGTAATACCTTTCTGTAGATTTGGTGGAGGGTCAAACCTAGCGTTTTTGAAGAGACCCGTAAGCATACTTTGGGATCCCCACACAAAAAACGCGAGTTCGCCGCATTGCTAAACGCGCGAAAACACACGAGTGAAAAAGAGACATAACTGGGCGAAAATCTTTAACCCAGGCATTGTTCAAAGCAACAGACTTCCGCAAGTAAAATACACGCGTGTAGATTTCAGAAAGGACCAAATATAGCATCTTTAAAAAGTCCAGTAAACATAGTTTAAAATCTCGACACCAAAACCGCGAGTAGGGCGTATCTCTAAACGCGCGAGAACTTAGTAACGAAGAGAAAGTTAATATAGGCGAGAATCTCTTACCCAAACATTGTCCAAATCAATAGACTCCCACAAGTGAAATATACGTGTGTAGCTTTAAGAAAGGCCCAAATCTAGCATCTTCACAAAGTCAAGTAAGCATAGTTTGAGATGCCGACACCGAAATCGCGAGTGTGGCGCATCTCTAAAGGCGCAAAAACATGCAAGAGAAAAAAATATATAAATGGGCGAAAGTCTCCAACCCAAGCATTGTCTAAAGCGACAGACTAACACAAGTGAAATACACGTGTGTGGATTTAAGAAAGGGCCAAATCCAGCTTCTCTAAAAAGTCCAGTATAAAGCATAGTTTGAAATCCTGAAACCAAAACCGCGAGTATGGCGCATCTCTAAACGCGCGAGAACCTACAAGAGGAAAGAAAGTTGATAGAGGCGAGAATCTCTCACCCAAGCATTGTCCAAATCGCTAGACTTTCACAAGGGAATTACACGTGTGCAGATTTTGGGAAGGGCTAAAAGTAGCATCTTTAATCTCTAATCTTAATCTCTAAACGCGCGACAACTTACTAGAGAAAATAAAGTTGATATGGGCGAGAATGTCCAACCCAAACACTGCCCCGAACTTCCACAAGTGAAATACGCGTGTGTAGATTTGAAAGAGGGCCAAATCTAGCTTCTTCAAAAAGTCCAATAAGCATAGTTTGAAATCCCGACTTCGAAATAGCGAATATGGAGCATCTCTAAACGCACGAAAACACGCAATAGAAAAAAATATATAAATGGGCGAGAATCTCCAACCCAAGCATTCTCCAAACCGACAGACTATCACAAGTTAAATATACGTGTGTAGATTTAAGAAAGGGCTAAATGTAGCATCTTTAAAAAGTCCAGTGAGCATAGTTTGAGATCCCGACACCAAAACCGCGAGTAGGGGCATCTCTAAACGCGCGAGAGCTTACTAGGGAAAAGAAAGTTAGTATGGGCAAGAATCTCTCATCAAAGAACTGTCCAAATCGATGGACTTCCACAAGTTAAATACACGTGTGTAGATTTGGGGGAGGGCTAAAAAGAGCCTCTCTACTAAGTTGAGCATTGGTTGGGATTTCCGCACTTAAAACGCGAGTGTGGCGCATCGCTAAACGCGCGAGAACTTACAAGAAAAAACAAAGTTGATATGGGCGAGAATCTCCAACCTAAGCACTGTCTAAAATGTTAGACTTCCACAAGTGAAATACGTTTGTCTGGATTTGGTGGAAGGCCAAAACTAGCATTTGTAAAGAGCCCCGTAAGCGTAGTTTGGGATCGCCACACCAAAAACGCAAGTGTGCCGAATCATTAAACGCGCGAAAACACATATAAATGGGCGATAATCTTTAATCCAAGCATTGTCCAAAACGACAGACTTCCACAAGTAAGATACACGTGTGTAGATTTGAGAAAGGGCCAAATCTACCATCTCTAAAAAGTCCAGTAAAAATTGTTCGAGATCCCGACACTAAAACCGCGAGTGTGGCTTATCTCTAAACGCGCGAGAGCTTACGAGAGAAAAGAAAGATGATATGGGCGAGAATCTCCTACCTAAACACTGTCCAAATCGATAGACTTCCACAAGTGAAATACACGTGTGTAGATTTGAGAAAGGGCTAAATCAAGCATCTTTGAAAAGTTAGGTAAGCATTGGTTGGGATTCGCGCACCTAAAACGCGAGTGTGGCGTATCTCTAAACGCGTGAGAACTTACAAGAGAAAAGAAAGTTAATAGGGGCGAGAATCTCTTACCCAAGCACTGTCCAAATCGCTAGACTTCCATAAGTAACATACACATGTGTAGATTTGGGGAAGGACTAAAAGTAGCATATTTTAAAAGTTAGGTAACCATTGGTTGGGATCCCTGCACCTAAAACGCGAGTGTGCCGCATCTCTAAACGCGCGAGAGCTTACGAGAGAAAAGAAAGTTGATATGGGCGAGAATCTCCAACCCAAACACTGTCCAAATCGATAGTCTTCCACAAGTGAAATACATGACGGTAGATTTGAGAAAGTGCCAAATCTAGCATCTTCAAAAAGTCCAGTAAGCATAGTTTGAGATGCCGACGCTGAAATCGCGAGTGTGGCGCATCTCTCAACGCGCGAGCACTTACGAGAGAAAAAAAAGATGATAGGGGCGAGAATCTTTCACTCAAGCACTATCCAAATCGATAGACTTTCACAAGTGAAATACACATGTATAGCTTTTAGAGAGGGCTAAAAGTAGCATCTTTAAAACGTTGGAAAAGCATTGGTTGGGATCCCAGTACCTAAAACGCGAGTGTGCGCATCTCTAAATGCGCGAGAACTTACGAGAAAAAAGAAAGTTGATATGGGCGAGAATCTCCAACCCAAACACGGTCCAAATCGATAGACTTCCACAAGTGAAATACACGTGTGTAGATTTGAGAAAGGGCCAAATCTAACATCTTCAAAAAGTCCGGTAAGCATAGTTTGCAATGCCGACACCGAAATCGCGAGTGTGGCGCATCTTTAAACGCGCGAAAACACGCGAGTGAAAGAAAATGTAAATGGGTGAAATGCTCTAACCCAAGCATTGTGCAAAGCGACAGACTACCACAAGGAAATACACGTGTGTAGATTTGAGAAAGGGCCAAATCTACCATCTTCAGAAAGTCCAGTAAGCAAAGTTTGAGATCCCGACACCAAAACCGCGAGTGGGGCGCATCTCTAAACGCGCGAGAGCTTACCAGAGAAAAGAAAGTTGATATGGGCGAGAATCTCCAACCCACAAACTGTGCAAATCGATAGTTTTCCAAAAGTGAAATACACGTGTGTAGATTTGAGGGAGGGCTAAAAGTAGCATCTTTAAAAAGTTAGGTAAGCATTGGTTGGGAGCCCTGCACCTAAAACACGAGTGTGGCGCATCTCTAAACGCGCGAGAACTTACGAGAGAAAAGAAAGTTGATATGGGCGAGAATATCTCACCCCTGGTCGCACCAGTAAACCCATAGAAAGAGCGGTCGGCAACCAATATTTATTAACTCCTAAACTGAACAAGGAGTTGCCTTTTCTAAGGAAGCTTTCTCACCATATCTTATTGCGGAATATGTTGGTGCAAGTTATGATTTGTTTTGTTCTTTACCTATTTGGCTTACGGAAGAATAGTACTCTAGTGGCAAAGAATTCGTCCCTCGTTTTTATTCACGCGAATTCTGAGATGGTACATAATCCAAAGAAGCCGCCTGCTGACACAGGCAAGTTCTGCTCATACCGACTAAAGTGCCTAGTATGCGTGTTGGGAATAAGCACATTATGCAAGCAAAATGGCAACATTTCAATTTGGACTTACATGGTAAATAAATAAATAGAGGTATATTAAAAGGGATAAAAACCTGTACTGTGGGCTTTGATGGACTGACATTGTTTGAAAATGTCGCCGTTATCGATGTTGGATCCAGTCCCACCACGTGCACATGGTATCCAGGTTATTTTATAATCATTGTTAATGTAGGTTGCATTTGTATAGGAAATAGCACGATTTCCAGAGGTATTTGGGATAACTTAAATACAGCGAGTGACATTTTGAGAGCTTTGAAATATCAAAAACCGATCCTCGTTCATCATTTATTATTATTATTATTATTATTATTATTATTATTTTCTTGCGTTGTGTCAATATTAGCTTTTAACTTTGTCGTATATGTTTATATCTCTATTTATTAAGTTACTTTTGGTTTATATTTAATACACATGACCGTAATTTTATTCATTGTATCCTATAAGCCGTATGGTTGTTATAGGCAGCTAATGCTTTATTTGTAACCTTCAAAATTTATGTAAACCTCATTATTTCCTTTTTGGTATAAAGTAAATGTTGTTGTTTTTTTTGGCATAAACAATTCATGGTTCAGATTTGGATATGGTGAAGATATGATACCTTTCAACACATTTCAAATGCTTTGCTTGATTTGCTTGCAGAATTTAAACAGGACTAGTTGCATAGGGAGATACAACTGCAATCTGCAAAATCTGCAACCTTAATGTCAAACAGCACATTTTCTAGTTAGCAGTAGATGGATGTAGAACGTTTCTCTGTGAGATGTCTGAAACGCCAAATATATCTATCAAATTCTGCTCGAAAAAAAATATCTTGTAAAAGCTTGACCGAGTCTTTCGTTTTAATTCTTCAGTTCCGCCGCTCCTGGCTAACTCTTGATCGAAGATCACCACACATTGGAATCCCCCTCAGTAACAAAGGGATAGTTGGAGAGTGTAGGCCCGGTGTAAACGAACATTTCATCTCCTAAGAAATAGTTTTTTCTTAATAATAATAATAATAATAATAAACATTACTCGGCACATTCATTTGACGCATAGTGGCGTAAAAGTAGAAATAGGGAGTCTTCGAATATAGCTTCAAGAGATAGCAACCTTGCGAGTCAAAATTTAAAATGATAGCAATTTGAAATCTAGCCGAGATTGCTCCGACTTTGTAAATAACATGTAGAACGACGTCCCAATCTCGTCTCCAAGGCGCTTTTCTCTTCAAATAGTGGATAAGCGTCCTGGGACGAGTTTGATGACGTCTGGCTGTGCGTAGGCTGAACGACTCGACGCTTACCAAGTTGTATTGCAGTCAGACACATTATTTCTGTGGTTGAGCGAACCAGGCATCTTTGCAGCTCCTGATCAGTGTCCTGACTCAGGCACACAGTTAATAGATCCACCGTATACTCTCGCTAGTTCAGACATCAGGATCACAGTGTATATCGTGACCTTTCTTCCCTTCCTACACGAATCAGTGGAATCAGGACAACGAACAACGATTGAAGCATGGCAAGTGTTCAAGCGGCAGTGCCTGTGATGGGACTGGATCCAACATCAACAACGGAAAATAAGTCTAGTGTGACTACGAACAAATTTAACCCATCAAAGGCCGCATTACAGGTGCTGACCACTCTTATTATCGTTCTTTTCTATTCTACCGTTTTGCATGATATACTTGGCTTCATTCCCGACACGCATACTAGATATGATTAGCATAAAATGCCTGTGTCACCTGTCAGCTTCATTCAAGCACGATCGTCAAATTGGCGTGCATAAAAATGAGGGACGAATTCTTCAGCACTACTCTACTAGTTTGCCGTGAGCCCCGTAGATAAGATCGTAACAATTCATACCTTACACCAGTGTATTCCGCGATACGATATCGTGACAAAGTTTCTTAAAAAAGGAACTCTTTGTCCAGTCCAAGAGTTAATTAATGTTTTCATGCACCATTAATAACAATAAGGTTGTATTTGTACAGGAAATACGGCAAGTGATAATTCAAAATGCATTTAAAAAACAAAGTTGCGTTCGTTCATAAAATACTGTTTTTACCACTAGAAAATGAAATTCAGCGTCAAAGGCCGCGGGTGTTTTCAAATTCCTCCGGTTTGAAGAGCGTTTTCGAAAAGCTCCGTTTTCGTGACGGTTTAAAGCTGTGTTTACAAATTTCTCTGACGTAGTGTGGAGGTTGCCTAACTCTCTTGTCCATATATATTCGTTCACACAGACAGAGTACATCGATTCAGGAGCTGGCTACTTCACGTCGAAATTCTCAGTTTCCGAGGAAAGCATAAAATTTATTTCTCCTCGAGCCATCAAGTCTATCAAGTCCATTCCTGTGAAGGTCGGTGATACATTCACCATCGCTGAGTATGGTTGTGCAGATGGAGGCAACTCCACGCCACTGATGTACGCATGCGTAAAGGAACTGAGGAGTTTGTATGGGAATGAGTTAGAGGTCCACATTAATTACGAAGACAAACCGGATAATGACTTCAAGTCGCTCTTTTATTTTCTTCAAGGTAAGGGAAAGGTTATGAAAACAACTAAATAAAGTACATTCCGATCCAAACAATGAAAAAGACCAGGAACCCAGGCTCCTCGAATGACCAGGTAGTTTAATTTGTCGGTGCCAACACAGAATTGCGACACAAATGTGGTACAATGATGAATGTGGAACAATCATTTTGCCACAAATATTAGCCCATTTTACCAATATATATTTTATATTTCTCGACGCATAAAGCCAATTTGCCACTAAAGTGTCTCGTAAGGTCACCGCACATCCCGCACTAAAAAAAAAAAAAACCAAGGAAAAAAAAAACAGACCAAAACAAAAACGCCGAATTAACGTTTATATGCAATCCATGGATCTGCCTTGTTTGAAGGTTTACTTCCAGCTACACCCAGCTACCTCGCCGATTTCCCAAGTGTTTTTGTGTCTGCGACGGGAACCAACTTCTACGATCAGTGTTTTCCCAGTGGGTCTGTTAACTTCGGATTTTGTTGTTTGGCTGCTCAATGGCTGAGCCAAAAGCCCTGTAACCTAACAAAAGCAGTGCTGCACAGTTTATCCGAAGACCCGGATGAGAGAAACGAGTTCAGTAAACAAGCCGAGAAGGACTGGGAACGGTTTCTGTTGATGAGAGCAAGAGAACTATCGAAAGGTAAGACAACAGAACTGTGAGAAAACGTGCAATAAACGATAAAAGTTGCCATTGAAGTGTACCAGGCCTCTTATAGAGGAACTATTACCAAGATAACTCTTCGCCACCCTTTTTAGTGAAGAGTGCACTACATGTACTGGACAATTTTGGTGGCTGCCGTTCGCTATTAATATTTGTTAATTAATTAGTCAATTAAGTAAAGTAAGGAGGTAGAGTGAGGTACGTATTGGTGTACACTACGTAAAACGCGTTTTCAGTTAACTCTTTTATAATATTACAAAGCTATATATAATTTTCCGAAACTCTGTTGCTCTCCTTGTGGTACTATTCTCTTGAGAACAAAAGCAGTTTGCTCTAAACGCATGTGCAGATTAGTTAACGTCAGAGTCGACTTTATATAATGTGGAAGATACATTTCATATGGGATCGTACAGGAATGTGAAGTACTTTTCCTTGTGGCAGAACACAACATGTAAGACGCATGCGTTCTAGCGTGGTGCACTCGTCAGCGTGGTGCACTCTGTTCTCGACTTCAGAGCTACGCGATATTTTATATGTCGTGTGATTTTACAGCCGCGGGATAGCATTAATATTTCGGGAAACGTGACTTCTCCATTTTTATTGCAAAGAACTCTTCTCTGACTGTGTATCTTTTGGCTCGGTTCAAGAAATGTAGTCTGCTTTTCTCAATTACAAATTATTGTGTTTGCTATTTCATCGTATTACTGAATTTAAAATGAACGAAAAACAAACCACCATGGTAAAATTCAAAGCTGTCTTGACAAACCGCAATTGTAAGCTTCTTGGACCTTGAACGAAAAACGCACATGAAACAGACACATTGCCAATGATGATGATGATGATGATGATGATGATTATAATTATTATTATTATTATTATTATTATTATTATTATTATTATTATCACGTCTTAGCAAGTTTCTGTCCGTTTATATTCTGCAAGGGGAAAAGCTCTAGCGTACTACCAAGAGAGTGAACAGCGGGGATGAGGACCTGTGTTGTAGCAGGAGCTGTAGCTATCGTATCAGAGCTGTACATTGCACTCTGCACTATCTAAGATTGTCTCACTTGTTCTCAATTATTTCAATATCAAAGGAGGAAGACTGGCTCTTATTGTTTCTGTGAGTGAAGTAGATTACAACAGCAGCGTCACCAACATCGAAAAAAGGAAAGACATTGTGAGGAATACGCCTTCGTTTTCGCCAATCTACAGTGCACTGTACAAGGTTTGGGAGGGCATGGCAAAAGACAGCATAATCACAGAGGTAATATGAAGTACCCACAACATTAGAAATCACATCTAATTTGAATGTTCCTCATTTAAATAACTTGTGTTACAACCGCCCTCGCCGAAAGAAATAATCGGAGAGAGCGTCATTCTCTCCAAGATTAACACAGGTACTTTTAAACTGTCGAACTTTTGATACCAAAATGCCAAAGTGTACCAAGGATAAGACTGAACAGCCACATACATATACGAGGAGGAAAATTTCAAAGCAAGAGGAGTTATCGCTTAACCATGATAAAAATATATTATAAATTTAATTTTGTAATAATCAAATAGTAAGCAAGAGTTGAAAAAGAAAATAGTCGATTCCATCTTTTACCCGAGAGGTGACCTTGCTTTGATACAGACCTCTCTGCTTTTGTCATGTAAATACACCTAATTAGAATTAGAACTTGATTTAGACAAAAAGGAGGGCTGTCCAATATACACGAACTGATACGACCCGTATAATGGCTCTTCCTTTTCGCACGATTCGTATGAGTCGTGAAACAATGGTTTACGAGTCGTACTGTTGTAAACTGGATATCATTAGAGAGACTTAGAGTGTATATACAAGTCCACGACCCGCACGACTCCTCCGACTCGTACAGGTCGTAAAACAATGGTTTACGAGTCGTACAGTTGGTGAACTGTATATCATTAGAGAGACTTAAAGTGTATATACAAGTCCACGTAAACCATTGTTTCACGTGATCGTTCTGTCGAGGTAGAAGCGCTGTCTTACTAGTGATATGCAGGTCACCATTGTTCCACAACCTGTACGACCCGTAAACCATATTTTCACGGTCTGTACGGGTCGTACGAGTCGTTTCAAGCCATTCACGGGTTATATCTGTTCGACAGTATTAGACAAGGATGAACAAAAGCAGTGAGGTTTGTATCAATTCAAAGGCCAGGTCACCGAGCAGACAACTGTAAATTAGCCTATTATATTGTTTTCTTAACCCAGAATGAAGTTAAGGAAATGACGATCCCGGAATATTTCAGAACGCACGAGGAACTTACAAAGCCATTCATGTCAGACGAATCTTCAGTCCGAAAAGCTGGCTTGACACTTGTCTCGGTGGAAATAAAAGATTTTCTATTACCACAAACGAAGCTATTTCAAGAAACTGGAGACGCCAAATTAGCTGCGAGACTTACGACTGGGCAAACTCGCGCTTGGAGTAATTCTCTGTTTTTATCAAGTAAGTCAGATGGTAAATTTAGATCTCAGATAAGAAAGTATTTCGGTGTTAAAAACAGTCGCTTCAGAATTTCAAACAATCAGTGCAAACCGAAACGTGCAAAGAAAACATGTATTGTATTCATTTTCTACCAACACACACACACACACACACATATATATATATATATATATATATAAACGTTTGGTAAAGCAAGGACGGACAACTTCTGACGGTAAAAAAAGTTAAAAAGTTAAAAATTTAATAGAAAAACGTTTCGGTCTTAGACCT